ATTTACATTGTCCAATGTGCTCATGTATAGTTCATCATAACATCGTAATATGTTATACATCATCTCTCTTCTCTTGATATTCCCCTGCTTCAGAGAATAGTTAATGATATGCTAAAGCCCGCCCGTATGTTGATGTAATTGGTTACAAGGTAGTTTGTGATGTAAGAAAGACTAGTGATTTCCAACCATGTCTTTGGATCACTGCAGTTTTAAGGAGGAAATACTCTGCCATGGTGCTGACTTGTGAATTTGCACATGGTTTGTCTTAAAGGGATACTCCACTTTTTTGGAAATAGGCTCATTTTACCACTCTCCCGGAGTTAAACAGTTGGGTTTTACTGTTTTCGAATCCATTTAGCCGATTTTCTGAGATTTAGAAGAATATCAGTAACCAGACAGTTTCTGGTCTCATTGACTTCCATTCCTACTATGGAAGTCAATGAGACCAGAAACTGTCTGGTTACTGATATATCACCCACGCGCTTTCTGACACTTTACATTTGGTTTACTTGCTGCTTCAGCCATGACAACATACAGATAAGAAGTAAAAAAAAAAAAAATTGGGCTCTCGCATAGGAATTTGAGTAATAAGTGGGGAAAGTGATGTATGGCGTAAAGCAGTCGAATTTTGTAGTTCTTTTTGTGCTCGGGTTCCTACCCGCACCCCAAAGTTACATAGTGCCAGTAAAAGCGATACAGACACTTTCAGGTTATGGCAGACCTGTCATTCAACCTGTTGTAAGTCGATGTACCATCTCAACGGTTTTGAAGAAATATTATAATGGTTGAAAGAACTACATAGTGCTGCTTTAAAGCATATTGAAAACACCAAATAGACGTATAACAACATTAAAAACGTATAAACAACATTAAAATTTTGATTTTCACCACAGGGGGTCTTTAAATCATATTGTTCTTGTGGAATGGAACTGAGGACTGTTTGACCATTTTCTTCTTTTACTCTGACCCTCTGTCTGAAATGATCAGTTTTTAACGGTCGGCTCCTTTAAGGCTTGTCAATAAACGGTCACTGTTATGATTGGCTAATGTCATTGCATAGGAAACAAAATCAACACACACTGGCTACTGCACGTGAGTAAGTGCTTTGAAAATATTATCCATATAAAGCTGTAATTTACAGACAAAGCATTATGAAACAATTTACAATAGAGTTGGCTACTTCATCTTTAAACCAAAGTTTCTTTGCTAACTCATCCTTCAACGTAATCTGGGATGCCACTAAAATAAACCATCCACTTGTTTCTGACGCATCCTTCTCAAGTCTATACAGAGACACAAACGAGCTGTTTAAACTGGACGTGTCAAAGCGAACATTCTCACTCTTTAATTTAAACTGTTGTCGACAAACTCAAATATTGAATGTGGAAAAAAGTGGAGTATGTCAGAAACTAAACACACATCTGTATACAGGATCTAGTGCAGACAGCATCAGTGATTATAATGGGTAAAGAAATACGATTTCAGTCTTTCTGATGTCGTGACCCATCCCCTGCTGCCACCAACCATCGGTGGTTCATACTGGCCTTTAACACAACACTCTGAGAGTGCATATCTGAGAGTGTCTGCGGAGGCGATTAGGAAAGGTTCTTGCATGGAGCTCCTCGCATGGCAACAAGGCGGCTTAGCTACCGGTTGCTAAGGACCAAATCAGAGGCGAGCCCCCTGAAGAGATTCTGTGCAAAAAGAAGGAATTCCCCCCATGGCAGCGCTATATAAAATGCCCCACTGCTTGGTTACCATGGTGACTACATGGTGTCAATAAAGGAGAGAACGGAGCCACATGTGTCTGTTAAGGGTGGCAGATTGTCAGATCCAAGATGTATCCTGTTGTGGAGGAGAATGCTGTGAAACAGATCGAGTCTGGATTAACCCACAGTATTTACATAGCTGGCAGTCTCAATGTGACAAATGGTGCATTTTTGCCCCTAACTGACTTAATTCATTTTGAATTAGCGACAAATGTGGAATAGAGCTGATGGAAGAAAACCCTTTTTTAATGTATAATCAATATGCTTTAAAGGTCCCCTGACATGGGGTTATTTTATTATTTTATAATGTTCCCTGGGTTGGCCTTAAAATATTAGTATGTTTTTTAGATCAAAAATAGTCATAATTTAGAAATAAAAGGCATTATATATATATATATATATATATATATATATCATATTTTATACAAAAACTATTCAGACACTTTGACCTGACCATGTTTTACTTAAGTGTTTTTATCTGTAATTGCTAAAGCGACCTTTTTACACCACAGACTGAACAAAATTAAGCATTGCTTGGTAATTGGCTGACCTAAATTGGTATTATCTAATTGTGTACTATAATTTAACAGCTGACCGCTATTTAACCTAATTCATTTGTGAGACAGTCTGACAGACGGATTGCCAAACCCAGTGAAATATCAACTGATTTGACAAGTCTGAATTCTTGTCATATTTTTTTTTAACCATTTTCGAAATTATAGCGAATAAACTGTGATAATGTGAGAAATGCGGTCTGAATACATTTTGGTTTGCCTGTATGTAAATGTGTCATACTCTAACGAAAATACAAGGCGTAGATGTAGCTGTTGTGAAAAACACTAAAAAAGAATACCAGTCTTCCCTCCACCATGCCATGTTTAAAGTTTGTGGCACACCTATCTTGAGAACTTGGGTATCAAAATTATCCCCGACTTCCCAGTGGTAAATACAGCTGAACGTGCATTCAGGTCCAATTCATATCCAATTTTCAACTAACTCGTATTCCGATACAGCACGTGAAGGCAGCATAAATACAACAAACACTAGTTACAAATATTGTTTTGTTTACATGCATTAGCAAATATTTATAATTTTTAAAATTTAAAATAATATATTTTTTAACAAATTATTTTATTAAAGTTTTAGTTTTTATTTCAGTATTTCAATTTAAACTTATTTCAGTTAGTTGATGTATTATGCTTTAAATTTTTCATTTAATATTTGTTTTTGTATTTTTTACTTTTCTATTATTTCACCTAACAAATTACTAAACAACTTACTAACAATAACAAACACTTCTTAGTGCAAGGGTTTGTGGGTAATATTAGACACACAGAAAAAAAAGTAGTGTTCCAAAAATCCATCTGGACACCTTTGTCATCCAATTGTCTACGTACAGTTTTTTGTTACTAATGCTTATCTCCATACTATTTATTTATTATGCAAATTGGAATGCAGTGCAATTTAATACGGAAAAGACTCTCTACTGGCCTCTAGTGGCCGTGAGGTGAAAGCAAACCCAAGTTCAACTAATTTGTTCTTTACAGATGTTTTCCCCCAAAACATATTTCTATAGATGCAACAATACACTAAACGCATGACCTCATCCCCCCAGCCATTCCCTTCTGCTGGGTAAACATAAATAGTATTAATTGTTCATCTTTATGGCTGTGCTTTGGCCAATACTTGAAACGATAAACAGAGCAGCAAAAAGACTTATTTCCAAACAAGGACATATTTACATCATTACATGATTATATGGCTAACATCCGACCACAGTGAAACTGTTTCACTAAACAAAGAAGAAACAATCTAGGAGGCAACGAGTCCCTGTGATGTTGTCTTTGGGTGGAGCTGTTTTTTTGGTTTATTACTATTTGGCCGTCTTGCATAACAAGTATAAGCTACACAATGTGATGATGACCTGAATCAACCTAGTTTAGGAACAATAGGGTACTAAAAATATCACTCTCCTCATCTTCCACCAAGAGAAGGGTCAGTATGCTAGATGCTGTTTTTGGACGTTAGATCTATCTGGGCAATGCATGCAGGAGTTATAAATAACAGCTGCTCAACGTCCACGCAAGAACATTTCTGTTCGGGTATTAATAAAAAAAAGAAAAATGGATGCAATATAGGCCTATTGGTTTCATCTTAAATGAATAGTTCACCCAAAAATGGAAATATGCTGTTAGTTTACTCACCCGCAGGCACTCCAAGATGAAGGTGACTTTTTTCTTTCCAGTTGAACAGAAAAGAAGATTTTTACCTGGTGATTCAAATAACGGTCACTTTAAGAGTTAAACAAGATACAGGCTAACTTAAATTATATCCATTGATCCTGACATCGATACTGATACATTGACTTCTTATGAAACGAAACAATCCTTCTGTGCAAGAAATTAAACATTATTTACAACATTATTACTACCTGTAACCCACAGCAAACTGTCCTAACGGTCCCGGCGCGAGCTTCCTGTCGCATTGTTACGTGTTGAAGTTTTGTATTTTATTTTTTACTGTAGCCGTTGACTTGCGTTAAATGATTCACTAAAGAAGAAACATGGTTTCAGCAAAAAAAAAAAAATCTTTACTGTTGAAAAAAAAAAAAGAAAAAAAAAAGAGTGAGTAGGCCTACATTAAACAGAAAATTTTCGTTTTTGGGTGAGCTCTCTTTAAACCTGGAAACAAAGTTTTGTAGCATTTGTTTTATTATTATTAAAAAACCGTATGATCTAAAATTTAATTTAAAAAATGTTGCGCTATTTCTGGATTGCTAATTAAGCATATGGGCTTTATGCATGGCTTTATGCACAGCTGCACTACTTCTTGAACTTAAGCCAGCTCCTTGTTTCCTGTCTGCCATTATTGGCCAAATTGATTAATTCAGGTGTGTCTGTCCTCAGTAGTCACGGCAACAATAATCAGACACACCCGAATTAATCAATTTGGCCAATAATGGCAGACAGGAAACAAGGAGCTGGCTTAACTTCAGGAAGTAGTGCAGCTGTGCATAAATCCCATTGTGATAAAGTTAGATATTCCTGCAACTACCCTTTAAACTGTACTTTGTAACTATTGTTTTGCTGATAATATAATTGATTTTTTTTTTAACTTTGAAAAATAATTTGGAAAAGTATTACAACAATAAATTGGAAAATGTGCACTGAAATAGGAAAAGTATGCAACAAGATGCATTTTTTCTAGTGGTCTCAGACCTTTGGACCCCAGTTTATATGACACGTTCACACAGTTTTAATCTCAGGAAACATTTGGTTGTTTGTAAATCATTTGTTTGTACATTTACCACAATCATGTTTCATTCAAGGAATCAGAGTTAAAAAAGAGGCACAATCTGCATGGCATTACAACATTTTTCCACATAATATTATACAGCTTTTCTCTTTATGTAAATATATCTATATAAATCTTCTCTTGCTAGGCAGTAGAACACACCTGCTGTCCCATCAAACACAGACACTTTAAGGCAACAATTGTTCAAACTTCACAGTTTCTCAGTAATCAATAGTTTCTGTTTGTCTTAACACATATATTAATATAAAATCGCTGCATAGGCAGTGAAATATAATCCTTGACATGCTGCAATTCATACCTGTCCTTCCATACAGATCATAATATTGCAAATGCCTTGCAGAAAAGTGTGATGTGTCAGTTGTTTGCTTATATTTTCATAATTGAAAGAAAATACGAGTTAACATCTTCATTTCACACTCTATTAATTATTAATGAATAACAAAAGAAAAGCATTAGGCCTAAGACGGAAGCATTTCAAACCAAATTCACTCTGGGTTTTAACATTGGGAGGAATTAAATTCTTAACCAGAACCAACAAAATGTACACTAAATGTATAGTTACAAGTTATAACTTAGAAAAAAGAAATGGTATATGGGTATTCAATGAACTGCGACTGTGATTGTCCACTATGTTCTCTACTTTGGTTAGATTGATACCTCCAGAAATCCATTTATTACACTTTTGTGCAAGATCTAAATGAGATTTGATTTGACAATCACATTAAAATATGCTTAGGGCCTCTTCACATATCGCGTCTTTTGCGCACTCAAGTTAATGATGGAAGCGGTGTGACGCGCTCGTTTTTTCCAAGCGCGTAGCCTACGCGCCGCATCGAGATAAAACATTTCAACTTTTCAGAATGCCGCAAGCGCACCATAAGCAGTAGGTCACGTGACAAAAACCAACCGCAGCGCAACCGCCCTAGCGCTTTGGAAAAATTAGAATTAATAAAATTAGAATGTGGCGCGCCCAACGTTTTCTATGAGTTTTTAGCCGTTATATGTGAATCCGGCCTTATTTATCCTAATTTAGGTTATTACAATGATTCCAGAACTAAGAGGTTCCAGCTCTAAATGTAGAATGCTTACATTCTGCATTGTTGTTTTATGATGTGGAAACACCACATTCATCTTAGAGAAATTTGAGGCATTAGAGTTCTCTATCAAAAAAGAGAAATAAATTAATTGTCAATACTGCAAGTTATGGGAATTAAAAAAATCGATTTTGTGCAACTGATGTGTGTGCAAAATATTTCAGCAACAAAGTTACATTAGAACTGTAATCCATGATGAAAATTTTTACAATTTGTGAAATATATACACGATACTGTTTTATGTAAAAGCAAACCTACAGTGAGGCCTAAAAGTTCTTATAAGGACTGCATGCATTCAATTGCATCGCATTTTCACAAAAGCAAAAAAGTTTGTTTACAGTACCGATTCGTTCAGGTATTTATGTCTGACTGGGAGTTTGAAAATAAATATGAACAGACTAGCTGAGCTATAATTACTGCAATATGGACAAAATTATAGAGAAAAGAGCAACCACATGGACTGCCTAATAATCGGAAAAAAACATTTGCAATTCATACATTCAACCACCGGGGATGCTATAGCTGAAAATGAGTGGGCATTTCTCCATAAATCTGTGCTCAGATCAGCAACATAGTCTAAATAAGTCTGTGCTTACAAATGCCCTGCCTCTTCAGAAAGGTATGAAAATACCAAGCAGAGGTATACTGGTAAAAAAATATTCACATGACAGCCTTTGAAGAACACTACAAACATGTGCTCACGCACACTGGCAGTTGCATGAGGAAGCAATGTTGTCACTTCAGTTCAGTCCATAAGGAAAGCAGGATGTGGGCCAAAGAGCTCCTTAGCAAATTATTACTGTTGGAAAGATAAAAAAGGAATGTCAGTGCATCAAACATGATAATTCCATCAGAGGGGGTAAAGAACAAACCAAAAAAAAAAAAAAGGTAAAGATAAAGAAGGTGCAGAAAAGTAATAATCAATGTAAGCAAATAGAAAGTGTGGATACACTCACAATTCTGGCGTAATCAGTGGCAAAGGTCACTCCTTTACTGGCCCTCTCCTGTGAACCACTGCTGCTGCCACTCACTGAGTTCTTCCGTATGATACCTGAAGTGTGTTTGTGGAAATTGCAATAACACATGTAAGAGTTACTGCCATATATGCCTTCATCTATAACCAATGAATGAATGTTATAATAAATATATATTACTTTGCATTCGTGTGAATCCGAAACAGACATGCACATTTTAAAGTAACCATTATAAAGGTCATTGTATTTTTCCAAGTATCATTAAGAGCACACAGCTCCTCACTTCTGACATGCTCTTAAAGGGATAACGCTCTTTAAGAGATGCCCTTAACGGGTAAAATCTTGTCATTACCCATTTAAGTCAGAGCTACATGATGAACTTAATTTTGAATGTCCAGTATCAGCCAATAAACATCCGATGTCTATTGATGCCAAATGATAAAAAATGTTCTTGATAATATCACAGCTGTTGACTGATTATTAATATGGTACGGATATTTTGTACACCCCGAATGCAAAAGAAATATTTATTCAAAACGTAATTTCTGAAACAACTATTATTTTAAGTTGACATCATCAAGCCCTCTTATTTTTCAACCTCATCAACAACTTGATGACTAGCCACTTTCAATCATAACCAATCATGGTTCAGTTTCACATTATTAAAGGATAAATAGGTTATGAACACCTTTCCATGTAGAAATGTGGTTTGAAGCAATTAAAAAAATCGTTATAACTTCACCTATGCTACCTGTGGGTGGCAGTATGTCCAGTCTTTGCAGGCTATTTCGGCGAGAGGTGGGGTATCCTCCGCTCTTAGACAGGCGCCGCTGACGACTGGACAACATGGCCGCCGGGGACACGATTCCTGGAGGGGGCACTTTACCCATCCGTTTGTAGAGCTCCTCAATCTCTAGCTTTTGAGAGGTTTGGAGAGCCTGCACCTCAGCCACATGTCTGAGAAAGAGGGGGAAGGAAAGAGGAACAGGATAGGAATTCCTATATTTGTGCTTATTTTTACACTGTATGTCATCAGATCTTTAACCGAAATAATATAACTGATGTAATTCACTTTTATGCATTTATAGGGAATAAATGTGATTATTCATTTACAAAAAACAAAAAAAAAAAACAAAAAAAAAAGGCGTTCAGGTCGTGATGCAGAAAAACACCTCCATACCATTGAAAAAAAAATACAAAAATGCTTGCTGGTATGAGGTTCTTCATATGAAATGCAGGGTTTAGCAAGGCCCATGTGTACTAAAAAGCCTCACTTTTGATACATTTGTCCATAAAACAAAGACTTTTCCGGCATAATTGAAAGCTTTTCACAGCACCGAACACGTTTGGACATGTTCAAAAATTGATTTAAATGATTTGTGACTAAATCTATAAAGGACAAAGATTAATAGAAATTCTAAATGATTAGAGTTTGCTGTTTAACAGGTTTCACATCATGCTGAGGCACACTGTTGGAGTTTGATCAAACTCATCATAATGTACAGTATACTGACCTGAGGGATTGTTCAATAGCCACAAGCAACCCATGAAACACACTATAGGCTCACCTCTCTCTGAGTTCCTGTAGCTCCTCATACATTCCCTCGTCGTCACTCTCTGTTTCGTCGCTGCTGGCGTATGATGTGCTGCGCGTGTAGCTTATCCAAGGCTGATTTAGATTGAACTGAGGGCTCCCTGATGAACTGTCCAGCAAACTCACACTTATCCTCCTCCGCCTCCTTTCTGTCTCCTCCTCCACCTCCTCCTCTTCTTCACCTCCACGCCCCTCGCCAGGTTCTACAACCTTTCTGTCCGCGGTCTTAGTTTCTCCAGTCCACAAGGGGGCACTCTCTGAGCTGCGCAAAGTCTCACTAGGCCATTTGGTAAGTGGTGGTGATTCATTCGGAGACCTGGGACTGCTTTCTGATTCCGCCTGTACGTCTGTGCTGCTGTCTGATTGGCTGTTGTGTGCGGGGGGCGTGGTTTCGGGAACTATGGATGTTGGCAAAGCTGTAGGAGTGGGAGTTGGCGTTGGGCTGAGAGTTGGAATGGGAATATCCTTGCTTGGGCTGACTTGAAACCGTCCCACTGTGACAATAGACTTTTTCTCTGTAAACAAGGAGGCGAGGAGATTTTTTTTAACACAGTGTGGACAGTGAACATGTTATAACAGCAAGACAATCAACAACTCGATTTTTACACGTTCTAAAAACAATGTGAGTTGTAATGAGGGGTATAAAACTTAAAAAACTAGCTGAACAATGTGCTAAGTATGCAGTGAGCTTTTGCAGTCAATAGATGGCAGCTGTGTGTTTTCATTTTAACCACTCACTAACACAATTTGACATTTTAGGAACAGAGTTGGAGGGACATGGAAATAATCCTGAGCAGAATTTTGCAACAAAACCCAACATGTTTGTATGGCTTTCACAATCATCATTCTATCACAACCAGATGATATTTCCAGTCAGATATTTTGCTGGAGGTGTTACAGGACATTATGTTCAGAAAGGCAGCAAAACCCGTACCTTTAGAGAGGACTACTGCTCAAATTATTTTGTCTGAGTTTTTTAAAAATGTTTTTGAATTAAGTATATTATGCTCACCAAGGCTGCATTTGTTTGATAAAAAAATACAATAAAAACCAGACAACTTCTGTATCTTTGTGTACATGGAACATAGGGTGTGTACTTATTTATGGGTGTGTGTGTGTGTTTCACAAATGGAAAGAGTGCAACTCACCTTCAGATATAGGCGAGAGTCTGGATTTGGCAGCAATGGTATTTGTTTCAGACACTGCCAGAGACATAGATAAAGTGGGAGAGGACCTTGGGACAGGTGAGGAGACCTTTAAAAACAAGTTGAAAAACATTAATAAAAGTGTCAACCCCAGAAGTCCTTCTACAGGTGCCTTTAAGACATACCGTATAATAACAGACAACACCCAAGTCAAATAATTTACATGCTCAGAACAGGTTTGTCTGAGTATGCTAACAAAGATGACAGCCAGCAGTGTTTCACTTAAGAGTACACCATCATATTTATATTGACAGAAACACTAAAAAGAACTTATTTTGTCTTGTGTCTTTGTTTAAATGCTACACATCAGTAGAAGAACAGGTTTGGTTTCAGATGACTTTTAAGTTATAGTTCACCCACAAAAAGGAAATAAACTTTTTGCATTGTTTCTCTCACCCTCATGTTGTTTCAACCTTGAAAGACTTACTTTCTTGAGTGGAACACAAATGGAAAATGTATTTCTCAATTACAGAATGTTCAAAAAAAATTCCATATGGCTATATTCCAATTGTGCTGAAGACATATGATAGTTTTGTGTAAGAAAAAGATTGAAATTTAAGTTGTTATACTGTATATTGATTCTAACTTTGCTCATTAAAAACATTAAAAACATCAATAACATCTTGTAATGAGTCTGTAAACTCAACGTGATGATCTAAGTTTGAATATTCATGAGCAGATTCTGCAATACTCCTCCTTTTGTGTTCAATAGAAGAAGAAGAAGAAATCATACAGGTTAGGCATGTTTCAATAATGCCTGATAATGATAACGCTTTTTGTCTGAACTATCCCTTTATAAAAAAGTTGTTTGTGTGTAATTTCGAACACTCACAGTGTTTTGCGGGCTGGTAGATGTGGAGGACGCTGGTGAGCTTGTGCTTGATGGGGTGCGGGTGCTTGACGCTGAACTGTCTGTCTGCTCTCTGAGCTGCCCTATGAGATTAGACTGGCTCTCCACAAGTGGGCTACTTCTGGACAATGCAGAAGAGCTTGAGTTTGGGGGAATTGTCTGTTTGATCTCAGGAGTCGTGCATGTTCTTGGCTCCCCAAGTGGGACTATTGGTGTTTGGCTCCCTTCTTGAGGTTCAGGAACTGGTTCCGGAATCTGCGTATGAGCATCAGGGTATTGGTACATATCCATATACTGTCCGCTCATTGCCCCCTGGTGGTATGGAGCATCGGCATTGCTCATGCTTGCATACTGAGCTGGATACATGGGGCCATACCCTGGTTGAGGGGTCATTTGTGGGTGGAAACCTTGAGGGATTGATCCAGCGGGTATAATGGATTGTGCAAAGTTCATAGCTAGAGAAAGAACATTGGCCAGGGAAATAAAGGGCTGCTGGGAAGGCGATGGCCACATGCCTGGAGGTTGTGAACCAGGTGGAGGGGCAACTGGAAGCGGCAGATTGTTGGTTTCTGCTTGAGGAGCCATCTCGTACTGCTGTACTGGTGAAACAACAGAAGAGGATGAAGAGGATGAGGAGAAGTTTGGGTTGCTGGGGACACGGGTGAGTGGACTTGGGTTGAGGGAGGCATGATCCATTTGGTAGGGGTAGGCGAAGTGGGTGTTCTGAACATAAGGTGGTTTGGTGAACTGAGGGGGCATGGCAGACATCTGATTTGGCAGATATGACAGAATATCAGGGTGGGAGTACTGCGGGTAGTTGGGCACAGAAGACTGATAGGTCTGTGAAGAACCTGAAGGAAACAAAAATAGAGAGAGAAAAACTGGGTTAAGCTCTATACGTAGCAGCAATCAAATCTCTCTTGGTTGCCAAGTCGTTGTAGTGTTCATTGCTAGGAGGGTCTTCTCAACAAGCCATGACCTTTTACCTTTTATGCCTTTAAAGGGATACTCCACTCACCCTCAAGTTGTTGTAAACCTGTATGCGTTTCCTTCTTCTGCTCAACTCAAAGGAAGATATTTTGAAGAGCGATTGGAACTTTGGCACCATTGACTTCCATAGTATTTTTTTCTACTATGGAAGTCAATGGTGCCAAACAACTGTTTGGTTCCAATCGTTCTTCAAAATATCTTCCTTTGTGTTCAGTAGAAGAAAGAAACTTGTACAGGTTTCCAACAACTTGAGGGTGAATAAATGATGACACAATTTTCATTTTTGAGTGGAGAATCCCTTTAACTCCAGGTTGCTCTTCAAGCATTGTCCCTGGAGTAAATGTACTGTAAATGTGCTGTAAGGGACCATTCACACAGAATGTTTTTTTTACTTAGAAGAAGACGCTGGCAGTGGAGTGGGGCAAAAAAGTCTTGGGATGTGTTTTTTAAAATTTGATTTTTTTTAACTTGAGTGCCACGTTTTTAGAATGCCATATCATGCAAGAGGTGCTGAAAAAGGCACGAGACACAAGCACAACGGTCAAACACATCCGTCTAGCACATTTACAGTACATTAAAAACAATGGAAAGGTGGTGCAGTGGAATGGAAAAACCATGTTGTTAGAACCAGCCCTATGGGTATTTACAGACCTGCAGACTTTGTTCCAAAACAGAGACTTAAAATGCAGTTTCTTCATGGTTCAGAATTCTTTCACAAGGCAACATCTCAAAGTGTACCAAAATGTGTTTTTGCAAGTCACATGTGAGTAAAATGGTCCTCTCATTAATCAAAGTGCACCTGCTTAGATTCTGGGATTCCACTCATAGCGTCATCTATCAAGATGGATTGGCCAGTTTGCTCAATGGGCTTATTGTGGCTCTGAAGCTATCTTTACAAACTTTTATTGTAAATTATGATACCACTTGATTCACTGGTCCTATGGGACGCATTGCTTTCTCAACACAACTGACCGGCTCCAGAGTTCAATTTCAGCCAATCAGCCAGTACCACCTCGTTCAGGCAACATCAGACAGGTTGTTTAGGTGCTGATCCGAGCACGACTATCATGTTTAAATATACTTGCATGTCTCCTCAAATCTTCAACTCGTCAACCGTCACTTTGTCAATGTCCATGTGAACGTACCTAATCGCTTTCAAATGTTCAACGGAGAAATCATATGTTAAAAAAGGACTCTTTGGAGAGGACCACTTTGGAGCATTTATCAAACTCCCTGTGCCAGTCCTCTACTTCCTGTGCGGATAGTGGGTACAATGAGACAACTAATCATCTCGAAATAGAGCTTTTATACTATGCACAGGCGGTGTAATACATGTAGTTTGTTCTCTCAGGTAATAAAATCTACTTGTTCATTTTGAAGCTGAGACATGTCAACAATGTCAACAATGACACTGGCATCAAAGCTTGGTCTCCATGGGGATGGGTGTTTAGAAAACGTGGGATACATAAGATATCCAGTTTGTTCCAGTAGCCTCACAGCTAATAGTGTGCAGAGGAAAAAAACGAATCAGTGAAATGATTATGATGTACTGAACATCCTCAAGGGGTTCGGACTGTACTGATGGTCTGTGTGTCTGAACACAGCACACTGGAGAGACCAAAGATGACTGGGTCTGATTTTAAAAACTGTTGGTGATCTGAAAAATTGTAAACATCTTCATGGTAAAAATATAAGCACTTAATCTAATACTAATTAATCTAATACTCAAAAAAAAAAAAAAAAAAAAAAAAAAAAACAGCATACTCGAGTGAAGTTACAGATAAAATTACTCCATTTCAAATTACAAGTCACCAATTCCACTAAGTAAAAGTCTTAGGATTAAATGAGCATTTTGTCCTTTTTAGGGTCGCATCCCGTGACATCATGCCCTGTTTTTGGTTTATTTACATGTCTTTGGTCCGTGTTGCATTCATATTTCATTCGAACCACACCAGAGTTCGTTTGGAAGTGGACTGAGACCCATCATTTCAGTGGTTTGGTGCGCACCAGCGATCGGATGGCTGCATTCACACTTATTCAAATTTTCACGTCCATTCGCATATTACCTTGGTAAACAAATTTTTTTTTTCACAATAAAACCCAATTCACAGTTTTATGTGAATGATTAGGAGGATGATTTTCATTGTGAAGAAAAAACTCTAGGCAAGAACATCCATTATTCAAAAGTAACGAGGACGCATATTTCGTACGTTTTATGGCCTTATCTCAGAAACTTTCATTTTTAGTTTTTTCAATATCCATGCATAAACAATATTCTCTCAAAAATACAAATATGTACATACATGTTGCTCTCATATTATGGTAGCCTTGTTTGTGCTAAATAGTGTAATTTCACCTTTGCCATTAATATGTTTATGAGCAACTGAAAAAAGCACAAATGTCACAGCATGTCAAAACGTCTCAAGGACCCCAAAAACACCTTAGGCCCCAGAGGGTTAATCGAACCAACCATGCCAAGTGTGAAAACACCCTAAAAGTTGCTAATATATTAGATACTCAGTAAAACTACAAAGCAGCCAAGATCAGTAACTAATTACATTTACTCAAATACTTTACATCACTGAAACTCCGATTGACAGACCGGAGGTTGGGAAAACACATTTTATGGAATAACATAAAATAATGGAGCAAACTAAAGACCCATTTGTTTGAATAAGAAAAAAAAAACATCTATTGGACTTCATTCAAGTTGCATTCAAAAACAGGTACAAAACACTTTCTATTCAGTAAATTTGACTGCCTCTATTTAACCAGTTTAAAGCTACACTTTTGGGCTTGCATTCAGTTCTATGTATTACAATTACTATTTGGATATAAATTTGATCTTCTACATCCTCATGTAAATTACAATTCAGCATGATCAAGTTTGTAGTAATTATTAATGTGGATGTGGACTCTGGATGTTATTAATACAAATTCTCAATGTAGTATCAAGGAAAGAAGTGAATGATGCATAACGAAGATAAGTGGTATATTGTGCAGACAGATGAATGTACCTGTGGTGTGGAAGGATTGTGAACGCAGGGGCCGGACGGGTGGAACAGCATTAGGATCGACGTAAAAGTCAGCGCTCAGTGTAGGTGAGGAATCACGGGTCACTGAACCTATACTGGCACCAGCATAATCTGAAGGACATACACACAAACAGGTTTATATCATCGCGGGTATTGTTTTATATTGAGCAAATGAAATGTTCTATACCCTAACCCTTAGAGAATGCTTTTTTTTGCATTTTAAGATTTAAAAAATACATAATTTAGTCTCTTCATTAAGCCATTTTTCTGAGAATCAAATACATTAATACCGGTAATAAAATTCAAGACTGTATACTAATATAGAGCACACTTTACACATGCTTTATATGATCAGTGTTTGAGTGCATGTGTGTGTATGTGGCCTGCATGTGTGTTTGTTACCTGGCAACGAGGAGGAGGAGTGTGTGCGAGCGAGGCCCTGTGTGGAGAGATTGGGCTGTGGGGAAAAACAGAGCACATGTTAGCATTAACGTCACCAAGTGACAAAGTTAGGAACACGTGTGTGAAAAGATAAGAATGTCACTCAAGCATGATTAAAGTCTCCAATCACAATGTTCCAGAGGCCTTTCTCACTAATGACTGTTGCATATTGATGACTAAGTTCTCTTATTCCAATCAGTGTGAGGAAGGAACACACTGCATCTTTGTCTATTGTTGTGACACCAGAAGATTGGATATCTGAACCACAACATCTAAAGCTCACAGTAAACAATTGAACTCTAAACCAGACACACACACAAAAAACAAAAATCTTATGAAAACCAAAGATTTAACTGTTTACTGTAACTTATTTCTCCTTAAGTTCAATTTAAATGGTCCTACAGTGTTACAAATGTAAAATGTATAATAAAACTAATTATAAAAAAACGATAAATTCATATACATAAAATAAATATAAAAAACATAATATAAATAATTATAGAATGATAAAAACACTGGATCCACATTTTGCTATTGTTCCTTTATTATAATATACGTTTATTTAATTTTTTTACCACTCAAATATAGTATATTATGGCTGTCAATGTTAACACAATGTTAACATCTATCATCTATCTATCTATCTATCTATCTATCTATCTATCTATCTATCTATCTATCTATCTATCTATCTATCTATCTATCTATCTATCTATCTATCTATCTATCTATCTATCTATCTATCTATCTATCTATCTATCTATCTATCATCCATCCATCCATCCATCCATCCATCCATCCATCCATCCATCCATCCATCCATCCATCCATCCATCCATCCATCCCATCCATCCATCCATCCATCCATCCATCCATCTATATCTATCTATCTATATGTGTGTGTATACCAAAAAATATAACAAATATTTTTAGAATAAAAACAATAGCATAAATATTTGTATACATTTTAATAAAATTATAAAATCACACCTGTGAAGCAGACAGTGTGCCGACTCCGCTCAGGTAAGGCAAGCGATCGGTTTCTCTGGGATCGAGTGGTTCTAAAGGCTCTCTCCTCATCAGGGCTTCTGCTCGACGGATGATATCTTTCATGCGGTGGATGAATCCCTCTCTCTCCCCAGGTAGAATAAACTCATTATGTACCTAAAAGGAGTGCAAAGACACGAATAAGTTAATTGGGTTGATGTAATTTGGAGTCTTCTTGCATGCTCTGTTGAGCTGACTTTATTAATGAGTTCAAAGGTCTCCTTCAAAGGTACTGGAATTAAATACAGAGCAGTGAACAAAGACATGTACTCATAATGCAGCAAAGAGAAACACTACCGTCTATATTTAGACTCTTGATCATAACTTTCAACTTTTAGTCATCATAGCTAACACAAAGAAGTCAAAAAAAGAAGCTAACAAAAGTGATGTTCAGAAAACACATTCACACAGATTCCATTTTAGCTACATAAATATTTTTTGCTGACTGAAAATTTGAACTGTTTTTAACCTAAAAAAAAACAGAGATGGGTCACAGCAGTCTAACACAACACACGTTTCCATGGAAAAAAATACTGTAGTAGCAACACGAAAAACAGAAATACATTTTCCAGTGATTTTTAGAGCTGATTGAGAATCTGGTTATAAACATTTCAAACCAGTTCTTTCTCCTGTTCGCTAAAAATATGTCAAATATTGCTGACAATAATTGTAGATGCAACTAAATGTATGGTGAGATGAATGAACAGGTGAGAAAAATGAACAGGTGAGAAAAATTGTGCATAGATTTTCTACTGTGCGTTTGAGGTTGGAGAGTTTGTGCAAACACAGAAGCTGAAACAGCAACACTTCTCATGGTATAAATCAGTTCTCACGAGAAGGGCCGCCTTATCTGTGTCCTTGTGTCCTCTTTGACGTCCATAACTTTTAATTTACAGACATTTAGTGAAGTAGTAGCGGAGAGCAGGGGCAATTGTAAAACATTTTATATTTTCCTTCAATACAGACTATGTCAGAATGATTAAAATGACATTTATATTATTGTAAATTATGAAATTATTATATATTATAATTATTTTATATTTAATTTATTGTATTTTTATTATTATATTAAAAAAATTATATATATTTTTTATTTGATTTTCGCTGTGATGCTAGCTCACCATCACTGTAGCGATGTCTTCTGGGTTGTCTCCATCCAGATCGAATTTAAATGTCACCATCTTGCTGTTATGAGTCTGTAGTTGACACTCGACAACCCGATCCACTTTATCTGACAGCTGCATGTAGAAAGACAGGGCAGAGAATGAGGTATATTACAAAAAAGCTATTAACTTTGAAAGCAGTTAGCAATTTTTTTGAATTAGACACATTTACAGCATTAGTAATGTTGGAAACCACGTCAGGACAGTTAATTAAAGCTAGATAATTGACTGATGAGTCACCCCGGTGATGCGTAGCCTTGAGCGAGCTCTCTTCCTGAGTAGCTTGGTTCCGGTTCGTTTGTTCTGACCTTTCCCGCTCCTCTCCGAAAGACCCTCGTTTCCGTCACTCAAACCAGAGGTGACATCAGAGGCATAGCTGTTCCGAGAGGAAGGATATAAAACACAATTTCCCAGAACTCGATTTAACAGAATGTTCCTTTATTCAATTTACCATAAGCACAAAAAAGGCCAAGTCATTTAAGATTGATCTTCTAAAATCAGGTTGAACTAATTCTGTATAATTCAGCTGTGTCCTTGTGTACCCATATGCTACCTTTGCTTTGCCTTCATCAAGCTTCCAACAGAAATGCTTTTTAGAGTATTATGCTCCCCTGAGCTAAATCATTCCCATTAATGCTCTTATCACTAGTATATGTGTGTGTGCCTGTATATGAGAAAGAAAATGCTCTCCACTGGAGCATTACAGCCACCGTGGGTATACGTGGCATGTTGGTCAGTTGGTGAGTAAGATTACAGCTCTCACAGCTGGGATCAGATCCACATTTTCTTGACGTCAAAACAAAAACAACATCCACATTCCCACACATAGTGAGGGAGGTAAAGGTCTTTTTATCTGACTGATTCTGTGTTCACAGGTTAAGAGCAGGATGAAGGCATTGAAGTGAACTAATTTTGTCAAATATTGACATATATCCCCTGATTAGTGCATAGGGAACTGTTAATCAGAACTCAGCTTACCTGTCGACAGGAGAGGAAAAACCACTGGCACTTCCTGACTGGGTCCTCTCTGTATTTTGTGACACAGCAATGCTCTGTGGGTGGGCCAATGAAAAATGATTATATTATTATAACTTGTAATATTATTATAAACCTCATTCAAATGAGCATTTTATTTGATGGTTTAAACAAATTTACGGCATTTTAAAACGTCTTATTCATTATAATCTCTGTAGTGTCAGTCAGAAATGCTCTGAAATCTAACATTTACTATAATTTGATCTAAAATTATGGAGTAAAACGGCAACACTGTGAAAAAATATTAGTTTTTGATTTTAAGATCGTTTAAAATTGTATTTATTCCTGTGATGGCAAAGATGAATTTTCAGCAACCATTACTGCAGTCTTTGCACCCACCAAAAATGACCAAAGATTTTACCAAATTTAATCCAAATTTGTATTTGGATAGGTAGGTTGGATAACTCACATAATCATAACTCTGCATCATTTAAAGCATCTCATCCTCACTGGTAACCTACCGAGGGGAAACGGAGAGCTGGGATTGCAGCAGCTGGAGTGGGAGTGGCTTCAGTGGGTGGGGTCTCCACACGAGGTGCTCCACTGATTGGTTGTGGAACTGTGAGGGGTTGGTTTGCTACAGGAGTTAGGGACTCTGTAGGGTCCTGAAGCCCAGAGGGGCTGAGGTAGCCGTCCGTCTCACAGTCGGCTGCCATGGTCATCGTCATTCAACCAAGCAAAAGAAAAATAGTTTGTTAGTGTGCAGCTTACTCCTACTGCTAAGTGTATAATAAGTGTGACACGACAAGGCACCGGATTATACAGTGACTTTCATGGAGGTTGCTTATTTTAAAATTAATTTTTCATTTTTTTAAAGTTCAATAAATCTGCTGAATTTTTCAATGTACACTACTGTTAAAAAGTTTGGGTTTGGTTAAATTGTAAAATATAGTAAACATATTGTAATGATGTGAATTGTGAAATATATATATATATTTTTTAAGTTGGGCTGTGCTGCCACGAAAGCCATGCACTTTGATGCCACGAAGTGCACTGGCAGCCCTAACCCAACCGTATACGTGTTGTATGGTCTTGATCCATCCTTGTCCTTTCATACAACACGAAATATTATATTGCAATATATTTTAAAATGTAATTTATTCCTGTAATGGCAAAGCTGTATTTTCAGCATCATTACTCCAGTCTTCGGTGTCACATGATCCTTCAGAAATCATTCTAATTCGCTTTATCAGAGTTGAAAACTTATGTACTGTTTAATATTTTTGTGGAAACTGTAATGCATTTTTTGATGAATAGAAAGATCAGAAGAACATATATTTGAAATAAAAATCTTTTGTAACAATATGTTTTCACTGTCACTTTTGATCAACTTAATGTATCCTTTTTGAAATTCCTTTAAAAAAAATCTTACTGACCCTAAAACCTCTGGACAGTAGTGTTTGCTGATATATAAATCTATAATAAAATGATACATAATAACATGCTCACTAATTACAACCAAAATGGAATGAATTGGAATTGACTGACAAACAGTCAGTAAATTTTTTAGTGGTAAAAAGTTGTTTCAAATCATTCCGGCCCAAATTAAAACATTGGACTTTTCAAAATCGAATTTACCCTTTTAAATTGACATGTAAGTAAACATTCTGTACATGCAAATGGTCCAGTAATAAATATATGCCACCATACAATGTAGCAACTGTTTATCCACTAACAAGTAAATCAAGTTGTTTTTAAAGGCATCTGGTGGTCATGAGAAACATGTTTAAAGGTTTTGCTGGTCATGGGAAACGTGTGGATCAACATCTTCACTTCTGATGGAACAACATTACAATCAACCAATTAGATTTGAGGTCTAAGTTTACAGTTATTTTCAAATTTAGACTTACAACCATGGTTAGGAGCTTCTACATTCTCATTACATACTTATTCATGTATCATTTCCCTCTGATTTTCGAGGTAAATTATGGTAAGGGGACTATGTTTTTGGACTAGAACAAGTCTTGGCAAAATAATGGCAGCCTGAACAATACTCTACACTACACTGCTTCGGTGCGCACATGTCACAGTGAGAGTTTTTGGCTTTCAGTCATATGTGCTCTTATAGTGAGTCATGTCTATGACAATTAGACCTTTAGACAAATACAATCAGGAAGAAATGGAGATCATCAGCAGATAGGATTTTGGAAAACTTACAGCACAGACTGAAAGGTTTTTTTTTTATACGGTTACAAGAAATGTGAATGCCTGGAGCATCCAAGTGTAATGGATTATTTTTAAAAATGTAAAACTCACATGTTGCTGATGAGTAGCTGGCATGGCGTATGTTGAAATGTGGCCGCTGGTCCGCGTCCGGCTCTTCGGGTTCAGTGGCAAAGCTGGCGTTGAAGCCAGAGTCCAGAGATTCGTTTGCAGACAGGGAAATGGGACCAGACACTGTGACAGTGGGCGGAGCTTGTGTAGGGATGGATACAGGTGTCTCTACAGGAGTTTTAGGAGCTGGAGGGTTAGAAACCGAAGGTTCGGCTTCAAGACTAGGATCCGGTTCCTCTTCAATCACCTCCTCTTGGCGACGCCTCTGCACCTCTTCAGCCTGACGGCGGCGCTTCTCTCGTTGCCGTTTGATGGCGGTGACGCGGTCACGGATGGCTTTGGCCACAAGCTTGTAGTCGGCCTCACAGACAAAGCCAAGAACAACCTGAAGAACATGGATTAGCTTTTATGTACTGTTCCGTAATGGCACGTAAATTAATTTTAGATCTCAGATCTCACCATCTCCTGAGCCACCTCCTCCGGGACATCCTTGTAGAGTTCGAAAAGGAACTCGATGGCATTGTTGTCCTTGTATTTGCCATGGAGCTTCTTGGTGTCGTCCATCCGAAGCCAGAGTTTAAGGCCAGACTTCACCATGTCGTCTTCCTCAGCCAGCTCGACATGGACACCATTATTCTCCTGAAAGAAGGTGTGCTCTAAGAGGTCCTGGATAGTGTACCTAAACAAGAAAATAAAAGAAAACGTCATTGTAACGACTGATACCAATCAGACACAATTATTTGTTATGGTTAACAAAGAATATTTAAAGCTCATTCTGGGATCTGTGGTTCCCCCAACTAGGACCAGAAGGTATTGGTTACTATGGTTACCAGTCTACCCAGTGTATTGTGTCTCCAATCTAATTAATCCTCATGTAATGACTCACACTTACATGTAAGTTGACTTACATGTAACCCATACATCTTACATGTAACCCATACAACCCATATATCTATAACTATTATTTTTTATCTGAGTATAAATCTCTTACCACCCTTAAAACAAAAGGTCATAAATCCTACCACCGAGGAACCTCCTGTAATTTGTGCACTGCTGTGTGAATTTGTATGCATATTAGAGTGCCACACTGTTAGCTTAGCAATGCAGTTGCATAGCTGACTGTAAGTACAGCGTTCCAAAGTGGTGTTTTTTATGAGCATTGTTGAGGGTAAAAGCATAAGTAACATGAGTTATGTAATCAGATTACTTTTGATGTAAGTAACTAGTAAAGTAACACAATACTTTTAAATTTACAACAAAAGAGTTAATAAAGAGTTTTCAAATAAGTAGCACAAGTTACTTTTTTTTCCATTTATTGACTGACCTCTTCTGTCCCATTTTGAGAGAAATCGGCAGTCAGTTCAGAGGTGTAACATGAGGGTTGTTGTAGTTAAATGTGAGAGCAAATGAATAAAAACAGTGAAATGCAAACTCAGTAAATCATAATAATAAGCAGAAAATACTTTTCATTTATTTCTTTTGTATAGAGTGCCGAAGTTACGACATCACTCTGTAGGCTAAAACGCGGAAGTGAGTTAGCATTTTAGCATTACGGTTCCCTCGCTCTAAAGCCTATGGGATTTTTGAATGGGTTTTTGCTAAATCGCCTGAAATAAGGTCTGTGGTGAACAAAGCCTCTAAATATTTTCACGTTTTGATCTATGACATAGAACACACATTTATAACCTGCTTGTGGTTTTTTAAACTTTATTGTGTCTGATTGCGTTTTTTAAAATCTTTATATAGGCTTCAAAATGTATAAATTTTGGATTACCTTGTAAAGATTATCTTGCTAGACAAAACGTGTAAGGGTCATAACCCTTTGTTAAACACAGATCTTATTTTTTGCGATTTTCCAAAAGTCTATGGGGAAAATGCATTGCTTTTCGACCGAGGGAACCCATGCGCTGCTAGCTTCCGGGTTGTCCTACAAAGTGACCTCATCACTTCGGCACTCTATGGGCTCTATGCACGGCGTTATTTCCGGTGAAGGATTAAGGATGCTCGATAACTTCCGCCGATCATAGAGTCCAATGCAATACCGAGAATTTATATTGAATTTTATACTCCATGGTTATACTAATGAAACGTTAGTCACAAAAACAGATAAAACAGACACCCCTCGTTGTGTTTATGCTTCTTTTTAAAATTATATTAAATAAACAACTATATATAAAATTACATCTAAACGTATGTACGTTTCGTTTCAAAGACGGGAGGACAGTAAATATTGAAGACTCTGCCATAATCCCGTTTTCTCCGGTTTTCCTCCGTTTTAATCTACACAACCGGAAATGGACGAGCATCCTTACGTCAAATGCGGAACTTATGCGTGCATATAGCCCATTGCTGAAGTAAGAGTGTTGAACTTTCTTCTCCTGTGGCCTATTTTCCTGCGATCCAGAAGTTTTTTTTAGAGCTGCGCCCTCTACTGTACAGGCGTGAATTTGCATTCCCTTCAGCCTGAAGCTTATTCATTTACTCATTCATTTGCTGATTCACATTCATTTACTCATATTTACTTTAAGGGCCAAAAATAGAACATTGTTTGTTATTAAAAAACAAAGCAAGCAAGCCCAACCCAGGTTAGAAAAAGTAACCCAAAGTAATGTAAGGGATTACTTTCCATAAAAAGTTACTACTTTAGTTTTTTAAGGAGTTACTCAATAATGTAACTTAACTCAATAGTAACTTTCCCCAACACAACTTATGAGGCTCCATATTGGTTATAAAGTTGCTTTAGAAGCATGTGAGCAAATATATATTAATAATTTGACTGAAATTAGCTAGGAGTTAAAAAGATGGGCATGAAAGTGTAATTCCTCTCATTTAAGTGACACAAAGCCCTCTGGTACCACAGGGGTCATTACAAAAAAACCCAGAGGAGAATGTTTTTGCCCTAGTAGCACTGTAAAATCTGAAAAAAAGTCTGTCTGTGTCTTTGACACTGTTGATTCTGCAAATATGTGTCACCTGACCAATGTAGGGTGGAACAGAAATATCAAACAGTGCAGCTGGGTAACAAAAATAGTGGCATGCAGGGATCTCTGAGGAGCCTGCGCAGTATTGTTTAAACGTCAAAAGGACAAGTATTGTTGTTTTAATGTGCACACAGTAAAAACTCGTCTGGCAGGTGTTAAAACATTACAAAGGCTGCTGGCGCACATACACAACTTTGCAGTTATTTGGTTACAGACTTTCTTCTTTGTTGAATGACCTTGTAGACACTATAGTTACCTTTCGTCTTTGTTCATCCGGATGCATCCCTCAATGATCTCTTTTAGTTCAGGGACTTTCACTTTGTAAAAACTGTCTGGCTTCATTCCCTGAGAAAGAGAAAGAGAGAGAGAGAGATATTTCAAATTAAGTCATTCTGAATTGGCAAAAATGCAAAAAACCCACGTCCGTACCATGAAAAAAAACATGTTGAGTGTGTGCAAACACAACTCAATAATGATACTGACAAGGCTTGCCAGGTTGAACTTGAGAGTTTAATGTTGAAGCTTCAGAATCTGTTTGACTTAAGAATGGCTAGAGTTACTCTTTAAGGCTAATCTTTTTTTACTCATTTCACATGCAAAGAGGTTAGCCAATCATAATCAAAATCATTTGTATATAGACGAGGAAAAAGTTTATGAAAAACTAAATTATGACATTGACTAATATTAAAAGTGGACTTCAGGGGAAGAAGAGCAAAAAAAAAAAAAAAACAATAATGAACATAACATAGACCTGACTAAATTAATTAAATAAATGTTCAGGGTTCAATACAATTTAATCTCAATTGACAACATTGATTCATCCTTCAGTTTGCAAAAATGAACAAACATTAATAGTACTTATAATGGAAACCTATGGGATGCTGTTGATGCTTCATTTGAATTCAATCCAGAAGTCCTTTAAAAGGGACCTAAAAGAAAATTAGCAGCTAAAACCTAATGCAGACATCTCACTTCTCTCCCGCATATTGATAGCGGCTCCATGACGCCTGAAAATTAAATACAATATCCCGGAAATCGAGTGAGAGAGAAAGCCTGTTTGCCATTTCCAGGAAGTGAGTTTTTGCAGGGTGGGATGTCTGCTAATGCAAACGACAACTAATGTGCCTCCGTTTTACAATATGTACCTCGAATATTGTAAAGAGGGAGAAACTAGGATTGGCTCTATAACATTGTAAGCAGTTTTTAATGCAGCGTACATTTTACGTATTAGCCGTGTAAAACTCTAAGCAGTTTTCTCAGCATATTTAGTCAACAGAACACACCATCCCAGAAGTGAGTTCAGTCCTTCTGGAGTAAACAGACAATGCTATCTGCGTTATCTGTTGCAGCTTATGACGGGGAACAGACGCCATATTGTGGAAAAACATTGATCACACAAGATATGCTTTGTGGAGTATGGTTTGGTTGACTGTTTTTACAAAGTTTCCACAATCGGTCATACTAAACACTCACAAAAATGAATACAAAGAACACTGTGATTAAGTCTATATTGGATTTTAAAGAAAAACAGTTCATAAAAAGAAATGCACTGCACCGTTATTCTATAAAATTGTTTTCCTAAAAAGACTTTTTTTTTAGATGATAGTACATCTAATTCTGGAATCCAATGAAACTGTCTTTTTACAGTCCATCTCCTTTGCTAAGTTGAAAAGCAAAATCAAGCTCTCGTTCTGGAAATGCGAAGCAGCTGAAGCCACAATGATGAGTTGAAAAGCACAAAATTGTGATGCTGAGGACATTTTCTTAGCATTATACCCATTTTAGAACCAGCTGATTCAAAGTAAATGTCATGTAAAGTGAACACAACAGTGTGTGAATACATGAAGAGCTCTTTTCCAAAACGCTATAAATCCATTTCAATAGTTTTCAGGAAAACTACATTTTTTACCTAGACAAATTATCCTGTTGAAATGTTTTATTGGGTCAGTCTGAACATTTTGAACAATGATTATTAAATCAAACAACAATATTGTTAATGATAAATTAAAAGTAACTTTTTTTTTCAAAACGCTATAAATCCATCCATTTTTTGTATCATTTTTAGTAAAGTCATTTTTAATAAAGTGTCAAACCTCAAACAAATAGTAACAATTTCAACATATGCATGAAAAACTAATTATTAAAAAATGATCAATAATGATAAAGATATATTCAAAAAAAAGGGATGGGCACCCCTCCAGCACATGCACACACACATGTATAGGCTACATAGCATGTGAGCAAAGCGGAGCGGCCTGACGCTTAAATATAAGTAAAAAAAAAAACAAAAAAACATAAAATAAACATAGGCTATATGTTTCACATTTGTGTTTAATAATATTACGTTACTTATTTCATCTATGTTGAGTAGGCTATGAAAAGGGAACCGCATGAGATGAGTAAGATAGGATCAAAATTCAAAAGCTGCCCTATATCGGAAAATATTTTGGATTGGGTCAGACATGATTTTGACCACTTATTAAGTTTTGTTTTGTAGAAAGCTTGTACATTTCGTTTGATATTAATTGTATATTCATTTTAATAAATGTTTCATCAACAAATTGACTGGATTAAAACATTAGAAGCAAATATCAGACAATATAATCAGGACACAGAGGTGCGCAGGTGAATCGGAGCGCGTCTCATAATATGAACCGAAACACCGCGATGCTTGCCTCACAGACCTGAGAACTAAGCTACAGAAAGCTTTAAATACTTTTAAACAAAACAATTAAAAACTAAAATAAATTGGCAACTCTCTGCGTATGTAGGCTAATTCGAAGTATGCGTTTCTATAGGCCTATGCGCGTTCACTGCGAAGATGGCAAGATAAGTAAGCATCATCAACTTTATCTTTGCTGCTGACACTGACAGAAAACACTAGTTTATTAATAAACAATTCAAATGTTTCATGCATAATCATTACTTTTGCCGGTTCTTTGTGGCAAGCTTTATGCATGCGTTGAGATGCGGAAAAGGCAATTAAATACGCTCATATGGTTTCTCTCCTATTTAATTAAATCAATATATGTGATTACTGATTAGACAAATGGCTTAAATGATCTACTTCTAGTCGACTAGAAAACTAGGACTCATTTTGAGGAATGAATGAACATAAACAAACCTCTGTTCAGAGTGCCGCCGTGCTGGATTGCATCGAATTCGAGGATTTATCGCGTTTTGGTTAAAAACAGGGCTGGCGCTTATCACGTTTTGGAAAGAAACTGTATTGCCGTACATTTTAAACAGGGAAATATAGCGATTTGGCATGAAACGTTGATGGAGCAGCGAAAGGGTTCTGTCCACAGCAGAATGACACGACAAACTCATTTTTTTTTAAATGGCGTTTATCGCGTTTTGGAAAAGAGCTCTTCACATGTTTCCCACAAAAAGTTTCAAATCCATCACATCATCACTTAAAACTGTGTTTTGGACTGAAATCTTCATGGAGGAAAGCTGTGATGTAACTTCAGTATTCTTCCAACCAGGCCTGGTGCCATTTGCTCAATGCAAAAGTCATTATGAAGTACATTCATGCTGCTGTGTGACAGAACATTTTTGTGGCAACGGCAAGCACCTCAATGTTCTGAGCTGGCCAGAAAATACAGAGAGGAACATCTTGACGTAACCAGGACGCTTTGGTATTGCTCATTTAGATAATAGGCCCATTGAAATGTTGAGATGGAAAAGAAATCAGAAAATACAAAACAGAGGTGCAATTCAGCGTAAAGGGGGTGGGGCGGGCATGAAGTTCTCACCCCTGAAAACCGCTTCTGTCTGAGGCACTGGGCAAAACTGATCTCATTGGCTTTCAACAGGGGTTCGGGAGGCATACAGACAAGAGTGTTGACAGGAATAAGCTGAGTGTAACAGAAGGAGTTTTCTCTGGTCAGGCTCCTCGTGATGACATCAGTCTTTTGAGGAGACCCCTTGAGAGCATGAGGCAAAGAACCAAATGCCCATTTATGTTTGTTTCACACTACATTAATCACTTCTAACTCTTTCTTTTCCTTCTGAGAAAAAGAAAGCTTTCTTAGCCTGGTCAGTATGGTCTGGTTAACTGGTTTCACAGGGTAATTATTAGCGAGCTATAGACAAGGAGACCAACTTAAGATCAATAACCAGACCAGAAGACTAGCTACTTCATTAGGACCAGCATATCCAGGTTAGAAGACCAGCTGAACTGGCTTAAACCACCTAAAACCAGCAAACGTTCTCATTCCTGCTACAAGAAATATTTTAAATAAATAAAATTTCTGTTCAGAAACTTTCTCTCTTTTTCCTCCTCCTCGCCAAATGCCTTCAGCAACGTTCATTACCTCATATTTACACAAGAAGTACAACATTACATCCAGCTAAATTAGATTAGTCATTACATGGTGGCTTCAAACCAGATTTCCTCACTATATACACAAGTATATTGTCAATAAACTTTCTATAAGAAGTGAAATCCCTGAATACCCTTCACTAATGTTGTCTTCCCTAGTGATCTCTACTAATTATCTGAATCAAAAGTCAATACTGTTTTCACAAAATACGTGCAAGATCAAATTGTCATAACTTATAATTATCGTTAAGTTAACATCAATGTTATCTTAATGTTGGTATATTAATGGTATCAATGCTATCTGATCAAAATTAAATTATTAACCTAAGTTAATGTTCATTCATAAAGATACTAAGTGTTTGTTCAAACATCCATGTTCAATTATAATTTTGATACATTCCTGATACATAACAGGAAATACCATCAAGTCTCATGAGCTATCAAAGATCAAACTCTCAGCACTACGATTCCCTTCCCTGTCGGGCCCAGTTGCTCTTACTGTAATAAGAAAACATCACATTTGTAGATATGAAATGACCTTTTCCACAAGGATTGCAGACAGATATAACAACCTTTCTAGCTGACAACAGTAACATGCCAACATTAACTTTTGAACCAAACTGAAAGCTTCACAAACAAACTATGCTAAACTCCAAATAATGTGTTCATGCACTGTATGTATCTACAGTATATAAACATGAACACTACCCACAAAAGTGTCTACACAAACCATGTGTTAAAGGGCAGAGTAGTTTACGTCTAAACGTTCTCTCATGAGAACTGTGATTAGCTTGATTAGCTTTGCTAAATCTTTGTTAATTTTACAGGCGAGATTCGTTATGCTCTTGCAAAGCCAATAAATAGACATAAAAAGCTTTTGATTGCAGTGATGCCCCATTTAAATGAAGGGAAGACGCAGATATTTCCTTGCAGTTTGGCTTCTCATTTACACAGAAAACAATTACCGGTATTTCTAAAAACTCCGGCCAAAGTGGAGATTTATAATGCCACTTATGTG